TAAAACTGCACAAATAAAGGGAATGTTTGGTAATGACAATGACAATTGTTTTATTCTCACAAATAATACAGTGTAGAGAATACATATATACAAGTGGGTGGCAATAATACATGGTGGAACAGGATGGACATTAGTATTGTAAATTAATTATGTCATTAATATTGGTAATAAATTTAGCCAATGATGTCAATTAATGTTGTGTTACATAATTGAATAGTGTATGAAATGTAAATGTTTGGTCTTTCATAATAATATGTGGACATATGTTTTTGTCTACTATTGAGTATTAGTTGTTGTGTACAGAAAATCGACGCAAATTTCTCTTAAATTACATAAATTACACCATCTATTTTCACGTGGTATATTGGACCACCTACCACTTTCAATCGCTAACTTAGTAGTACATGTTCTGCATTTGGCTAGTTTCAGAGGTAGTTTTAGTAAGGACTTTTATAAACTCTTTAGCCAATGTATACTTGTAAACTCTTGACTATTAGATGTAAGTTTATAGTTAGAGGAACCCCAAATTCACATCCATATAAAACAATAGGTTTGATGGCTTTGTCAAATATGTCTTGTTGACAATCTATTGACAAAATTATGATTCCTACATTTGGAAATGGCACCATACATTGCTCTTACACCCTTATCATCCAGTTGTTTAATATTAAATTGTGTCAAACCAGTTTTAGAAAAATAAACCCCAATATGTTTGAAATCCTTAGCTATTCCTATAACAGTACGTTATATGTAAAAGTAAGGTCATCAGGAATTCTTTTTCTATCAAATACCATGATTTTAGTATTGCTGATAGCTTTTGCAAATCCTCTGTCATGTCTGATATTAATAAGTATAGTGTCATCAGCATAAAGCTTCAAATATACATGTAATTCCTCCTCTAGCTGGTTGTTTATATTAGACACACATGATTTCATAAAATCTTTTGGATCATTAAAGAAAAAGTAAAAATAAAAATGAAAGATTATCGCCTTGCCTGGTAGGGGTGTTCTCAAGTGCTAGCATATTTTGAAGGTGTTGTTTCATATAATTATACATGTAAACAGACCCTTTTTCACTTAATATAAAATTTATCTGGGTGTCATACAAAAACAAATCTTCATTGCATTTTGTTATGTAAAGTATATGAAACACCCATAAATATGGCTTAATTTATACTGCTTAGAAATGTTATA